AACGTGTGACACTTACCTCCCTGGGTTCACACACACACACACACGCACACACACGTTGTGGGGGATTTTGGTTTGTTTTTTAAAAAACGTGTATATATATATATATATATATGTATATAAAAAAAAAGATAAATAAGAAACAGAGGGAGGAGGAGAAAAGACATTGCTAATGTCAGGTTTGGCAGGATGGGAGGTGGGGACAGACAACGGGAAGGGGCTGGGGCAGCAAAGAGAGGGTCAGAGGGCCAGGCTCAGGGGGGAGGTACTCACAATGCATATCTCGTTCATGTTCGTACTCGATGAAGGCATAGCCTCGGGGCTTCCCTGACCGCTTACTGTAGACCATGTGTATCTGGGGGACGGGGGACGGGCACAGAGGTTAGTTCTGGCACAGGGAAATCTCATCCCATTAATCACACAGCCTGTGTGTGAGGCCTTGGGTTGGTTGACACCCAAGACAGAAGCCTCAAACCCTGTCTCTGTCCTTCAAGAGCCCAGAGCGACTGATACTCTAACAGTGCTGGGCTTAGCAGTTTATGTGCAAGCTGATCTAAAGCCCTCACTACTGCCCAGAATATTTACGTGACTTTTAAATTAAATGAGGAAATAGTTAAAATATAAAACCTTGCTCTGAAACAGGAGGCAGCATACGTTTTCTATAAAGGGCAAACAGCAGATATTCCCAGCTCTGAGTGCCATACTGTTTCTGTTGCAACAACCCAACTCTGCCTCATAGCAACAGCAGCTACCAACAAAGGTGAACAAATAGGCCTGACTGGACACCAACTAAATATTATCTACAAATAGTAAGTCTGTAGTTTGCCCAACCCTGCTCTAAATCAACAAGCAGTCATCACTTCTTAAACTTTCCTCTGCTACCCAAAGTCAGCTGTGTGGAATGAGGTGCGTGTCCTCGGGACTAGAAGCCAGACTTCTCCCTCCCTCAACATTCCCCAATTCAAATACCCCTGCCCCAGTCCACTCACTCTTTTGATGGGTCCATATACTTCAAACTCTCTCCGGAGCTTGGATTCTGTTGTGTCATAGTTCTACAAGAAAAGAGATACAGGGTTAAGTAGGAGAAGTGAACTCTCTCAAAGCTGACCCCTCAGAACATTCCCGGGACCCAGCCTTTTGTCCTTTGTCCCACACCCAAGCTCTCAGCAGCCTGAGTTCCAGACTCCTCTGGGGCTCCAGGACTTGAGACTCACCACTCTAGCCACAAAAAGAGTCTTGAAGGCATCACCCTGAGCATTGGGATCATTGTGAGGGTCCCCTGTACAGGAAGAAGATAATTTATAAGTAAAAGGTACCAACAGTCTCACATAGTGAGACAGATACAGACTGATAGGAGGGGGCCCAATACATGAAGAAAACTGTTAGTAACCCAAAGACCTTGGCATGTCCCTCTGAGCCCTGGTTTCCCTGAAGCATAGCAGCCTTTACCCAAGTGGCTGATTTAGGCTGATGCAGGGAGGGGATAAGGCTGAATTCACACTGACAGGATGCTGCCCACCAGACATTCCAGACCTACATATCCTAAGGCCCTGTCCCTCCCAGCTGTAACTAAACTTGACTGGGCATCTTTGAAGAGGTGGCCTGTTCACCCTCACTGATAGGGCCACACTGCCACCCACTGGTGTAGCTCAAAACTGCAGCCTGCAAGGAAACCTGATGATAACCCTCTGGCTGGGAGTGGAGCTTAGGAGCAAACCAACCATGCTTTCTACCCAAAAGACCTGTGGCCTAAGGGGAAGAACAGGGCTGCTACTAGAGCTCACAAGAGGCTGATTAGATTCTTTCTTGCAGCCTTACTACCACAAGGCCACTGAGGAATAACTATCTCCACAGACAAGAGCTAGAATCTATTATAAAACCAATGGCACAGGTGGTTCTGATGTATCAAGCCTGGGAAGAAGTCATTTTCACCAGGTATGGTGGCCCCAGTACACACAATGGCCCTTGGCTCCTGCCAGGGCCCCACATGTCCCTGCCCATTGCACAGAGGTGGTTCTTCTCCAATACAGCGCTACTATCAGAAGGACTTGCCACATTCTGGGAGAATATGAGAAAAGGGATAATATTAATATTGATTGCGTAATATGGGACACTGTGCTAGACGCTGGTAATTATTTACTATCATTTTGCAAGTGGACATAAAACAAATCCCTGAGGCATGAAAAAGAGGAATGCAAGAGTAGCAGAGACCAAGCCTGATTTCACAGCCCAGGTGTTCTAACCAGCAGGCCCTATGCTGAACCCCAAGGCACCAGCTTCTCAGGAACACAGTTTGGGTGTTGTAAGACCCCAGAGAAAGTCCAAGGTCTGTTTCCTGTGAGAGGGTTTGGCTGCAAACACAAACTAAGTTCCAGATGACTAACGGGAATTTTTTTTAAAAAAAGTATAGCTTTATTGATTTAAGAGAGAGGAAGGGAAAGGAAGAGATAGAAACATCAATGATGAGAGTCATTGATCCTGCAAGCTCTGCACTGGGGATCGAGCCCACAACCTGGGCATGTGCCCTGACCGGGAACTGAACCGTGATCTCCTGGATCACAGGCTGATGCTCAACAGCTGAGCCATGCCAGCCAAGCTTTAGAGAATTTCTTAAAAAGCAGAACACTGAGCCTAAATTGAAGGGAATAATTTCTGGAAACTGATGGTATCTTTGAAGAAAACACTATCTCTGCACCTACCCGCCTCAGTTCCTCACCATCCCTCATCCCTCTGGGTTGTAATTTTCTGTGCACAGGTCTCTCAATTGGTACTGAGTTGCTCTCACCCATTCATCCAACAGATGTTTGTTAAGCACTTGCATGTGACTGGAACCGTCCTAGGTATCAGGGATTCAACAGTGAAAAAGACAAACAAACTCCCTGCCCTCTTGCAGTTCATAACTAATGGAAGGAAGCTGACAATAAACAAGGGTAATAAGGAAATCATCTAGTTCTATCAGATGATGATGACAGAGAGATGGACAGAAGAGTTTTAACAGGACGGTCAGGAAAGGCCTCACTGAGATGATGACATTTGACCCAAGTGAAGGTGTTACAGCAGCAAAAGGAACTACACCTTGCCAACATCAGGCAGTAGGTGGTGTAACAAGTATGGTAGGAACACTTCCATGGGACCAGTGATCACTGCCTGAGGGAGTAGATAAAGGCCAACAGCAGACAGCTGAGCTTCCTGGCAGGCAGCAGAAAGGGGGAAGCACCCCAGGTGCTGCATGAGCCTGTAGTTCTAGCCTACCCAAGAGGCCAAGTATGATTAAAAGCAGAAGCTAGCGCAGCTGAGTCAACAGTACCCCTGTTACTGGACAAAGAACACCTCAGCTGAAAGAAGGTGACAAAGAAGTAAAGCTGGCCATCAGTTTACCAGTGTGCATGGCGGAGCCCACCTACTACACTCCCCTTCATAAATCCTTGGTTATAGGGATTATTTAGGTAGCAGGAGCTCAGAAGCCTGAACTATGGAGTTGGGAAACCTCATTAGACTTCTACATGGCAAAGTAGCTCAGAACTCCTGCTCTTGGTAAGCACACTTGGCCTTGACAAGCTTTGGTTTTCTTTTCCACCAGCTACCCGGCCAGGGCTCAAAACTCATTTTTATAGTTAGCTCATCTAAATCAGGGTCCAAACAAGCTCTACACTTACTATTTGGTTAATGTATCTTTTGATGCTTTAATCCATATGGCCCACTCCCAGCCCAGCCCCCTTTTCTTGTCATTTGTTTAAAAAACTGGATCCCAAGTTTATCCTGTATAATTTCCCACATTCTGAATTTGGCTAATTGCATTCTGTGTCCTTTAACATGCCAGGATGCCATTTTTAAAGTGTGGAAAACAGCCTGGCCGGGCGTGGGTCAGCGGTTGAGTGTCGACCTAGGATCCAGGTGATCGGGGTTTGATTACCGGTCAGGGCACATGCCCAGGTTGCGGCTAGATCAATGACTCTCTCATCATTGATGTTTCTATCTCTCTCTCCCCC